AGTCAGAATTTAAAAGTGTATAATTGGATGTGTATCGTTTCAGCAAAAGCTTAAGTTTTATGAGTGTAACTAGTGTTTCTGCTGTGAGTGGACAGTGAAGTGCATGTGATGAAGAGTGTGTCTCGTCATCTTCATCTTCGGCTGTCTCTCTCTGATAATCTGTCGTGTCTCCGTCAGCACTTTGCAGAAGCAGACAGACGGATTGGACTTAAATCCTCCAGTACGACACAGATGGACAAAACACACAGACCTTGGAGAAGGTGAACACACACACACACACACACACACTCACACAGACTTACACACACTCAAACACACACACACACACACACACACACACACACTGAGGAGTGAAATCAAAGAGAGGAGAGAGGTCTGTACACTGAGAGTGAGTCTCTGGCGCCAGCAGCTGGAGAAACAGCAGACCTGAGCTCTGACATCATGATATTAGTGCAGGATCAGACAGAGTCAATATTACTCTCTGAGGCTGTTTAGAATCACAAAATGATGCTTTTATTTGATAATTAGTACTAGACGGAGGATTTGTCATTCAGTAGTAACACACACCAAATACAGTCAAAGATGAGCGGAGGACTGATGAGCAAACGGTAAAAACACGGTAAACCTGACAGTTACTCCCTCTCCGCGATCGCCACCAGATGACGCTCGATTTCTGCTTCTGACAGAGTCCTGAAACACACACACACACAGATGATGTTAAACCGCCTCACACCGTCTCTCTCTGTGCTCATGTTGACTCTTCATTCTCTCTCTGCACCTGAATTTGGGGTTTTCTTTGGTCACGACAGACACTTCCAGCTCAGTGCTTTTGAAGTCCATTGAAAGCACAGAAGACAAACACGAGATCGCCATCTAGAGGACAGGAGACAAGCGTGATACAATATCAAACCAACACACTGATGCCAAACCTCAACATCTGAACTATTCATATTATTATTACACAACGCTCTGTTTAAAACCTGATTATATTCATTCACACTATAATGAGCCGCTGGTGATATGTTATTCCATTACCATTTAATATCTCAAAACTGGAGGACAAATAAATACAAATAAATACATTCAAATTGACCAATAGAACATGAAATGATCACACTGCACCTGATTACATTCAGGCTTATTACAGCTAAGTAAAAATAAACAAAAAATAATAATAAAAAAAATGCTACTTGAAATAAAATCAGCGTTAATGGAATTATGAGCTACAAATAGTAATTTAGCATCTAATATAAAGTACATATAAAGTAATATAAAGTACGTATAAAGTACATTATTGCGAAATATGTCTTGGCGAGATTCACACAAACATAATCTGTTATGCCTCACATGAACGTTTAGTTAACAGTTGGGGGAAACAGCTGTTTAGTCCGATTCCAACAAGTCATGTATCACTTAACTAATTTTTGAAAACTTGCTCATTCCGACTCATTTTGCCAGCGTGGGTCACATATGTTGGTAATGATTCTCTATATTTTGCAGTGGATTGAAAAAGATGGAATGAATCAGTATGTCTTGCACTGTTTAATGTTTCTGAAAGAGTCTCTTCTGCTCACAGAGGCTACATTTATTTGACCAAATACAGTAAAAATACTGATATATTTTTAGGATTTAAAACAGCTGTTTTCTATGTGAATATCTGTTAAACTGTAATGTATTTCTGTGATCAAAGCTGTATTTTCAGCATCATTCCTGCAGTCTTCAGTGTCACATGATCTTCAGAAATCATTCTAATATGCTGATTATTAGAAACATTTCTGATTATTATCAATGTTGAAAACAGTTCCCAATGTTTTTGTGGAAACTGTAAATGTTGTGTTTGATTTGGCATGTATTTCTGCGTCACACACCTCCACGGTCCTGTCGTAGGGCAGATCCGGCTGCTTCTTCAGCTTCTTCTCCAGGTAACTGCTGGCCTCGTGGTGTTTGACCCCGACGCTGGTGGCCCTGAAGCCGCAGAAGTACCCAGCCGGGTCGCATTTGAACAGCACGGGGCCCGTCTGAGGGTCCATCGCGATCAGCATCATGCCTGAGGGACACACAGCATCAGGTCAGAGCCGCAGCAGGACCAGGATCAGCACACAGCTGAGACGAGAGGAGCGTCACTCACAGCAGCCCAGCGGCCTCATCTCTGCATTCTGCGTGTAAACCTGAGAGATGTCCGCCATACGCCGGCACAGCATGTCCGCCGTGATGTCATAACCGAACTTATACTTCCACTCGGCCGCCTCGATGCGAGCCCGATGAACCTGAGAGCGCTAAGAGTGTGTGTTTTACCGACACTTTCTTCTGTGTGAGCAGCACAGCGCAGTCCGTCCCTCTGATGGCCACCGTGGTCAGCCCGCTCTGACTGATGGCTTTGAAGGCATATTCTGTCCAACATCACATTCAGTATTACACAAACACAAACACACCAGACCAGCAACTCTGAAGGACACTCAAGTCATGGCATTCAGTGAAGGATTTCGGACTAATGAAGATTAGCTCTGATCTGAAAAAGCTCTGGACCCACAGGTGGTGGCGTTTCATGCGAAATAATAAAATAAAGTTTCGTTATGACTAGAAAACACACATTAAGACTCTGAGTTAATCACAGAATACTATAAACATTAATCTGTCACCAGTAGTGGCATTAGTCCAGTAAACATGTGTAGAGCTGTAAACAGGAACAGTGGCTATAACGCGATCTCTTACCGACTTGATACAGGCGGCCCTCCGGTGAGAAGATGGTGATGTGTCGATCAAACCCCGCGTTTGAGCCTCTAGACATGATTAGAAACACACTTCACACCGACTTCAGCAGCTCAGTCCGTCGAATTCGCGATCCTGCGGCTCTATAACGCGCGGAAGTCTGTCGAGTTGAGAGTGAATAAGCGATTTTAAACTTTCACTTTCTCTTTCGTTCCGTCGCGTCGTTAAACTCGGTGAGGAACACACACACACACACACACCTGAGACTCACATTCACACTAACTACACCTGCATCTTAACATCACATATATACAGTATATAGACATATATTCTCGCCACTGAGTTTTCAGACGGTAATACCGTGATTATCATTATGGACGCTTTTCACGAGACTGTGATGACGCGTTTAACGGTCAACAGTATCGTAAATCGTCGAAAGTTTTTCATATTTGTATTTTTTTTATAATGTATGTACATTTATAACACTATTCTTTGTATTATATCACCTTTGCATCAAATTACAAAAAAAAACAGTTGAGGCTAATGTGAGGGTGTTTCTAATGCAGCGTCTCTGGGAGGAACGGTAAGTTTGACCTCCTTCTCTCTTCTGACTGCCGTTATCAGCCTCTCTCAATTTTTTTTCTTTTATTGAAAGTCATGAAAACACTATCGTGGGGTTTTTATTTTGCTATTTGAGCAAATGAGAATGCAAAAACTATATCTGTGGTACTCTCCCAGTCACTGCTCTTCAAGTTAACCCAACTATGACGACTTCCGCTGCTGAGAAACCCGGAAATGTGAAAAAAGTCCAATAAAAACTAATTACGATTTTACTTTTTAAATTTAGAATTGTGAATTATAAACACAGAATTGAGAGGCATGCCAACTCGCAATTACCCTTTTTATTTTTTATTCAGTTGCTAAAAAGTGGAGAACTAAATTCAGAATTTTGAGATAAAACGACGCAATCACGAAATCGGAATTGCGAGAAAGTCAGATTTGCGTCAGTTTATATGTCAGATAAATATCAGAATTGCAAGGGAAAAAGTCTGAATTGTTACCGAAAACAAAACAGAAAAAATCGCAATAACCATTTTAATTTTATTCTGGAGCGAAAACGGGCTTTCGTAGAATTGCAATAGCCTATGTAAACTCAGAATTCTGTCCGAAAAAATAGAATTGGACGATATAAACTCATAATTGCGAGAAAAAGTGCGGACTGTAAGATAAAATTACCTTTATTGTTATTATTATTATTATTAGCTATTATATGATGTGGCGGAAACAAGCTTCTATACTAACATCAGTCATACTGATCATTTTTTTAACACTGTAGGCTATTTAATTCTTACTATGGGAATTATTGCTGTTTAATATTGTAAAAGCGACAAATTTTCATACGGTAATACCATAGTGATGATCATAATTGCACTGTATTTTATGTATAATCATTTTCTATTTTTCAATTCATTTTAAAGCAGCACTATGTAACTTTTTCTGTGTTCAAATAATGAGCGAGTACATCATGAATTCATCTTCCAAACCGCGTTTTTGTCTTATTCCGAATCACTACGGTACACTTATAATAAGTACTTATATTTGGACTATTGTAGCCTGGTCACCGCTGCGGAGTAACACATACCTGCGTGAATCGCCATAGACATAAACTTAGAGAAGTAGATCCGGTTGGAATGTTCTTCCGCGGGATGTGTGCAGCTCTGTTTATTAACCGCTAGAGCGCCAACCGTTACATAGTGCTGCTTTAAATCAATTTTTAAATAATTTAAAAAGTTTTTAAATTCCTTTTTTTAATATTGTGATTTTTTTTAATGGTAATTTTACTTTCTTTTATGTAAAGCACTTTGAATTACCATTGTGTATGAAATGTGCTATACAAATAAACTTGCCTTGCCATAATATAACATATTTACGTGACACTTTTTAAAATACCACATATTGCAATAATGGTCGTGTCCAAAACAACATAAACAACAATAAATCAAAAACGTGATTAAAGTGAAACAGAATTTGACTGATAAAGTGCTTTTTTTGATTTCTTGTTATTTAAATGAGTCTTTCTCTCGTTTAGATTGAATAGTGAACAAAGAATCGTGAAGAGTCACTTTTGATTTGATTCAAACTAAACGATTCACTCACACAATGAACGATGCCATGGTTGCCATGGTGAAGAAACTGAGGGCGGAGCTTGTTTGAAATCAATGATCACATTAAAACACACACATTATAAACATCTCAGGATCTCCATCAGACAGACTCTGAGGCGCTGTGCGTTCAGTCAACAGATCTTTATTAAACCAAACACACAGAACTATTCTCTCGACTGGAATGCCTTTATATGCTCCGCTAATCTGCATTTACATTCATAATAAATATGAGATTCATTCTGCAGTCGACACTCGTGTATTGATCAGCTCCTCTGACTCTTATTGCTGGTTTTTCTTTCAAATCTATTAAAACTCAATGACAACAATGTGTGTGTGGGCGGAGTCTGTGACCAGACCTGCTCTCATTGGCTGCTTTCAGGAAAGTGCAACATGCAGGGAAAGAATGCCAGCGTTTCCTGTCCAACACACACACACACACACACACACTCTCTCACACACACACACACACACACACACTCACACACACACACACACACTCTCTCTCACACACACACACACACAGACAGACACACACACACACACAGTCTCAGCGGCTGGCGTTCTGACCCCAGAACAGTTTTAGCCATGTTCACACAGCAGAATGATTCAGAAACACAGTAACAGTCAAGAGCACAAATCACATCATTACTTCATCATATGTGCACACGTGTCTCATTATATTAGTCGTACCACTGAAGAAAGTATTGCATCACAATATAGATATGAATGCTAAAATATTCAAATGAGGAGGCGGGGAGTGATGATTAGGGGCGTGGCTTGCGTGACTGTGCACTAAACACGTCTCTATGGCTTTACCACCAGTGTGTTTATGAGCATTTGGTGTTTGATTTCGTTTCATGAGAATTATATTTATGAACATCTGCAGCAGGATAGTGAAGCCTGATGAATGAACTGCCTCTATGAGCTTATGAATATATACCTTCATAAATAGACTAAATGATGTCTTATTTCAGAGTGTTTCATCTGATTGTGTGTGTGTGTGTGTGTGTGTGTGTGTGAGAGTGTGAGAGTGTGTGTGTGAGTGTGTGTGTGTGTGTGTGTGTGTGAGTGAGTGTGTGTGTGAGTGAGTGTGTGTGTTTAACCCCTGCGTAGTTCATGTAGTTGCGCCACCACTTTTCTCAGTTCAGCTTCAATCTCCAGCAGCTCCTGAAGGAGAAACACAGAGTTCAGGATTCACTTCATATCTGCTCATCTACATGTTAATGTGCTCGTAAATGATGACAAAAATAAACTCCTTTAACATTTAAAGCAGTGGTTTTCAACCAGGCGGCCACAAGACTAAAAAGTATTTAAGTTAATATATGATTATTAATTCATGAAATGATCTAAAATGATCTCTATTAATAATAAATTGCGTATTTTTATTATTTATAATTTTATTTTACTATTTTATTCATTTTTTAACCCTCAATAACTCTTGAGGAACATATAATTCGTGAAACGTCTGAAATCACAAAATTAATTTTGGTTAATTAATTTATCAATATAAAATATGTATAGTTGTATGTGCTGCTAATGGAGTCGCTCTGATGAACATCATGCAGCACGTCTGTATCTCTCACCTCATCTTCATCCTCCTCCTCCTTCTCTTTATCATGCTGTCTCTCCTCCTCCTCCTCGTCTCTCTCTCTCTCAAACTGTCGTGTGGCCTCATCGCTGGCGTTCTCCATCTCCCGCTTCTCCTTCTTCTCCTCCTCCTCCTCCTTCACGCGCTCCATCTTCCTCACCAGCTCCTGCAGCTCCTCCTGTTTCTCCTCCTTCTCCTTCTCTTTGTTCCAGCTCTTGGTGTCGTTCTTCTGCTCCTCCCTCCTCTTCATCATGCTGTCTCTCCTCCTCCTCCTCGTCTCTCTCTCTCTCAAACTGTCGTGTGGCCTCATCGCTGGCGTTCTCCATCTCCCGCTTCTCCTTCTTCTCCTCCTCCTCCTCCTTCACGCGCTCCATCTTCCTCACCAGCTCCTGCAGCTCCTCCTGTTTCTCCTCCTTCTCCTTCTCTTTGTTCCAGCTCTTGGTGTCGTTCTTCTGCTCCTCCAGCAGCTCCTTCAGCTCCTTCTCCACCTTCTCCTTCTCCACCATCAGCTCCAGCTCGCTCTTCCTCTTCTCCTCCTCCTCATCCTCGTTCCTCCTGCGTTTCTTCTCCTGTTGTTTCCTCTCCAGCTCCTCCAGCAGCTCCTCCAGCTCCTCGTCTTGTCTCCTCTGGACCGCCGTCTTCTGGATCTCCTCCTGCAGAAGCTCATCCAGGTCTCGCTCATTCTGCTCCTTCATCGCTCCCTCATCTTCCTCCTCCTCCTCCTCCTCGTCGTTGAGCTCGTAGTCGTCTCTTTCGCGGGTGTCTTCATGCTCTCTGTCTTTCTCTGGAGAAAAACAAATGTATATATATATGTGTCCCTGCAGCACAAAAGCAGTGTTAAGTCGCTGGGGTATATTTGTAGCAATAGCCAACAATACATTGTATGGGTCAAAATTATAAATTTTTCTTTTATGCCAAAAATCATTAGGATATTAAGTAAAGATCATGTTCCATGAATATATTTTGTAAATTTCCTACCGTAAATATATCAAAACTTAATGTTTGATTAGTAATATGCATTGCTAAGAACTTCATTTGAACAACTTTAAAGATGATTTTCTCAATATTTAGATTTTTTTGCACCCTCAGATTCCAGATTTTCAAATAGTTGTATCTCGGCCAAATATTGTCCTATCCTAACAAACCATACATCAATGGAAAGCTATTTATTCAACTTTCAGATGATGCATCTAAAAAAAATTAACCCTTATGACTGGTTTTGTGCTCCAGGGTCACATATTATTTTATGAACAACAGCCAATCTGAATCCATTTAATGAGCCCAAGCATTTAAAGGGACAGTTCACCCTAAAATGAATTCTGTCATTATTTGCTCTCTCTCTCATGTTGTTCTAATCCGGTTTGTTGAACACAAAAGAAGATATTTTGAAGAATGTTAGTAACCAAACAGTTGACGGTAGCCATCGACTCTCATAGTATTTTTTTTTTCCATATTATGGAAGTGAATGGCTACCGGCAACGGTTTGGTTACTAACATTCTTCAAAATATCTTCTTTTGGTGATCTGTGCGGCAGACTGAACTGAATGGATCTGAATAATGACTCTGTTGTCTTCTATAGAGCTGAAACTGATTTCTGCAGGGTTTGTAGTGTTTGACGGACCGTGCTGGGCCAGCTCCTGTAGCTCTCTCAGCAGACCCTCGTGTCTCTCCTCAGCGTTCAGAACATCATCTGTGAAAAAAACCAGCACACAGTCACTCCCTCTCACAGCTTTTTGGGTAAAATAAGTGTTGAACACGTCACCATTTTTCTCAGTAAATATATTTCTAAAGGTGCTGTTGACATGAGATTTTCACCAGATGTCGGTAACAACTCAAGTAATCCATACATACAAAGACAACAAAACAAATAAGATCAGAAATTAAGTTCTGTGTAATAAAGTGGAATGACACAGGGGAAAAGTATTGAACTACTGAAACGTTTTCAATACTTCGTACAAAAGGCTTTGTTGTTAATGACAGCTGTCTGGAGAAACTAGTGGCATGGCTGGCCGTTCTAGCAGCTTTACTTTCTTTCTGTGTTTGGGATCATTGTCCAGCCTGGTTTCATCTTCATCATCCTGGTACTGTAGGTGTTGGGACTGAACCAGCTAATTTTAGACCTGAAATTGGGACTGAACCAGCACCTTTAGAAATATATTTACTGAGAAAAATGTTGACGTGTTCAACACTTATTTTGCCCGCTGTATAGTGAAAGTTAATGGGGTGCAATGCTGATTGGTCTGGAACATTCTTCAGAATATCTTCTTTAGTGTCTCACAGAAAAAGCTGATTTTTGGATGTCAGAATCTCACCGGTCTCGCGTCGCTCACAGCCAACCGTCGGTCCATCAGCACTGATACTGACTCCATCAGAACCACAGTCAGTGCTCTAGTGCGCACACACAGACACAGACACACACAGACACAGAGACACACACCCACACACACACACACACACAC